TTGTGAAAGTTCAAAGGGAACAATAAGACTTGGAAGCTACAAAACTCCTAAATATAGCAAAATGAAATGTATCTTAACCAATAACCCATTTCATCCAATAACTTAATGTCATATTATACACCCAACTATTATATAGGTAGTATTAACTATTCGTAATAACACATTAATTTAGCAGGAGATAAAACCATTGGTGGTCAATACACTAAAGCAGCTCATTACTATTTTAAATAATTTAAAAAAAGTATCAAATAGTAGATGTAAACATTTTTAAATAATACTGATATTCTGATAACTGTCTAAATGCATAATCAATAGCAAGAATACTTTTGAATTTCCCATAGAATTGAATGAATTCTGTGCTTAAAATACAATAGGAGCAACTGCATATGTGAAAAAGAAGAGTGAGTTTATACGCTCTATCCAACAAGTCTTGTACTGAAGAACAACCAAAATATTTATATTTAAAAATAGAATGTTTATAAGTAAAATATCAAAGTTTTCATTTTTATTGAAAACTTTGACTTACAATGTTTAATGCTAATTATATCTATATTCACATACTGTGCTCCATTTTTAACAAAACAACTTTTATCTTGAGTGAGAACCATTGGACAAATTTGTTTGACTATATCACAAAATCCCTGATAATTATATACAAGAATCATGACTAGAATTTCAAGCATGACTGATGTGCCAAGTTTTATTAATGTGTTTTTTAATAAAACTTGTAACATATGAAAATTTCAATTTGATTAAATAAATATCTGCCACTTGTAGGCCAAAGTTAACATTAATCGAAATTCCTTGTATTTGATGACATTCATACTGTACAAATGTGTTGTTAAGTAAAAAATATATGACCTGTAATAATTCGCTACTGGTTAGTAAATGATTTTAGGACTATATGAGTTTATGACATAAATATGAATGACTGTTTAGTCATATTTGTCAATTATGCTTATCACTTGGTAAGCTTGTTAAAATTGTAGTAGAAAAAAAAGGAAACACTTCACATTTAAGTGGACTAGACTTTGAATTATTTTAACCTCAATAACCAAAAAGAACCTGCTCAACTACAGAATGTTACAAAAATGCATAATTTGATAAAATTGTGAAAAATATTTAAAGCAATTAAAAAATAATACTAAATACTATGTAGATACATAAGTAAACATAAACTAAAATCACATGTAAAAATAGATATAAACATCACATATAATTGCATGATGCAATTAACAGATATAAAAAACCCTACAAAAACAAAAGCGACATAAAATAACCTATGTTTAAGGTGTTTAACAATATTCAATAGTAATCATTCATTTTCTATTTCTATGCTGAACATGTAAGCTGTATGAACTGAACATCACATCACTCTTTATTTCATTAAACTATCAACATTACAGAAAGAGGTTAGTATAATGCATCAAGAAATAGTAACTTTATTGTTTGCATGCTACAATTAAACATATTTTGAAGAATTAGAAAAATACAAACACACACACACAAGTCATATAGATGAAAGATAAAAACATTTAAATTAAATGACAAAATATTCAAAAACGTAACAGAGACATAGAAGAAGAAACCAATTTAAGGTGTTGTTAAGAAACAGCACATTTGACACGTTATTCTGAAGAGTTAATTCTACCAGTTCTTTATGTAACTCTGAAAGTGATATATACATAAAATGTAAAAAGATAATCTTCCGAGTTTTAAGGGAATAATAAGATTAGAACTGCCCTCTGGCCTAAAGTGGTTTTCTTGTAGAAGTAGCTTTGTTGAAACAAAGTTTCCTTTTCCGATTTAAGTTATTTATAAATTCAGGTAATACTATCTTTTACTTCACATAAAATGACATCATTATCAAACACATTAGAACAAGAACAATCACATAAAAGTAGTACAGTAAAATAATTACTTTATCCTATTGCTTTTCTTTTACACTACCTTCTTACTTATAAGACAATTCATTTGAAGCACTCTAGGTTTGTCCAAAGATAACATTGAGTACACAGATAGAAGTAGAAAGATTAGAAATATCAATCAAAATCACATTGAATAATAGCTTATGTTGTTAGTGAAGCAACAACTTAAAATGGAAATAAACTTACAGCATCCTCAATATCCTTCTGCACTTTTTTGTTATGGGATGAATCAGAATGTTGTTTTAAAGAAGTAACAAAATTATACTTGTTCAGTAACATCAAGGATATTCTGTAAGTCTTTGCTGCAAAATAATAAACAATCAATAAAAAGTTCAAAGAAACAAAACAATATATATATACATATTTCAAATAAATAAAAACCTAGCATGACTGAAGTACAAAGAGAAGCAGAGATTTCTTATTAAGTCTTACCTAAACAAACATTTCATGAATTACATCTTTTAATGTGAGATGACTGAAAAACAATAGATTAAAACGATTCCAACATGTACATAGGAAATAAGATTTTGTTTGAACATGAGAGACAACTTACTTTACACAATAAACAACTGCACATTTCCATCTAATGATGTGGTAATTGAAGGATAAGTCTAGCACACAGTTACTTAACCTTCACAATTAAAGTAACTTTCAATGTTTCTACTGCATGCTCAAGTATTTTGCTATATGGATCAAAATGATCCAGAGTAACATACAAGAGTAACCCTATAACACAATTTTTCAATATAAACATCTATCACTCATAATTAAAATTAAAATAATAAACGAATTTCTATGCAGATTCTTTAAATGCATGTAACCATCCATTCAACTGCAGCATATTAAAGCTAAACTTAACTAATAACATATCTGAATTTTTATTTGCAGTACTAAATAGTCTACATATTACCTTATATGAAAGACAACTAAGAAAACAACCTTGAATGAAGAGATTATGATATGAGCTAAACTCATAGGATCACACATTTACTATTTTAATGAAGTGGCAAAAACACATTTAAGATACAAAAAAAAATCACAAAATTCTTCTCTCAACTACAAGTACTACTTTCACCTTGATGCCAAATTGATCTACATACTTACGTAACTGAACATATTTGATACAGTCATAAGAAATGCACTACATTTTTAGCTAGTGTGCAAATGCTGTCTGCACTGGTTTCTTTTGAAATATCACTATTGCATGGAAGTACACTTTTCTAGAGTATCTATTATTTAGAAATTTTTAAACATTTTCTCAATTTCTAATTCAGAACATATTAATCTTTTTGAGACCATGCATTAATGTTCAGCTTTAGGTGTTATTTTCTGTATCAAGGTCCGCTTAAGGAACTAATCTTTTGTTTCATGGGACAGAGTATTGTATCCTACTTTATATTGCATATGTAGAACTACCCAACAACTGCCACATGAACAAGATATTTTCCTGGATATGTGCTATCCAATTTTTCAACTGGCAACCTTTGGAACACAAAATAAATTGTCAGTGCAGTTTCCAACTAAAATGCATGAAGATCTGTTTGTAAAGTATTACTTGTTTTCAACATTTCAGATGTTACTTCTGCTCACCATGCATGTGTGTATCAACTTCATTTATCTATAATATTGGATTTCAATTTCTTTTATAGCCACTTATTTCTTTTTAAATTTCAATAACAGTGCAAGTGACCTTCCACTATGCATTTAGGTATTTTTCTCCAATTCACCAGTTAATAAAGTGTTTCTTTTTATGATGAACTTTATTATATATCTTGATTCTTTCATTCCATGTGATACTAACACATGATGCAGAATAAAGAAAAAAATTATGTGTCTTCAAAATTTTGTTGTTCATGTTTCTTGATCTGGAAAAATAATGTAATATGTGTTCTCTTAATAAGATATCTTAAGTTACTTTCCTGTCACATAACAAGTTACCAATACTGATTCTCATACAGGATACATATGCTGTGGTGGTATTACTGCAATATAATGAAGATGCTAAAGTAAATTCTATTCTATTTTGCTTGTCTTTGTATTCTAATGATTTATTTAAAACACTCATTTTTGTTAGATACTTCCAAAAATTGTGAACATTTCTTTTATTTTTTTCCGTTTGAAGAAATTAAAGATAGACAAATACAACAAATCAAGTTTTACACTGATTAATGATATGCTAAACTGAGGAGCACATAACAAAATTATTAAATATTATGAAAAATGCACCTTTATGCTTTAATATAGACCTATAAATTAAAAAGAAAAGAAAAAGTTGTACCGTCATTATTTTTATTTATTATGACTCATCTGGTGATTTAATTTGGTAAATTAATCCTATGCCAAGTTTTATCTTTTGAAATAATAAGATAATTGATAATTAATTAAATTACTTTTTATCACAAAATATTAGTGCTGCACCTTGTAAAAAATTTAAACTTACTCCCACTGAAAGAATTCTGGGAGTGATTACTTCTTACATAAAAAATCACTTACCTGGAGCACTGTTAAATCATTTTCAAGTTAAATTCAACAACAATGTGTACACAAAAAATGAAGATACTTTCTGGCTGCTTTAGCTAAAAATACTTCTACACTCCTTGAGTAAATAGTTGAATAACTCACCGAGAAAACATCCTGGTTCTCTAAATTTTCTAGACTATAACCCTAAGTTACGGAAATATTTTTACGATCTAATCTGTTTACACCAATTGCTAAATTAACACATTACTTTAGATTTTTCATTTACTTACACCACAATGCCTAACTGAAGTTCATGCTTATTTTTATTCTTCTACTGAAGAATTAAGTTTTCAAAGTTTTACATGGATATCTACCAATTATTATTCAGCAAGTGATACAATGCTGAGTAGTCTTGATTTCACTATGTTGAACAGTAGTTATATCTTTACCGAATCAAAGCTGTATCGATGTGTTACAAAACATTTCTATTACAACTTAATCTCCTTTTTTGAAAACAGTATGATATTCTGAATGCATCAAAAAATATGATCTTTTTTCTATACGTTAAAATTCCATAAATAAAGCACATCAGATAAAAATTAATTCATAATTAGTACACAGTTATGTGAGAATAAATCAATAAGTATATGATACTAACCATGACAAAAATCAAAATATGGTGGCCATATCTTAACTCTGTGTATTTAAAAAGAAATTCTTAAATTTAACAAAAAACTTCATCACTTTACTAATCATTCGCTGTATGCTTGAATGTTGTTTAAAATTATCTTAACTATTCAAGCTACAGTCCAATGCATCTTGTCAATAATAAGCTCAAGAGCAACAATTCCTAATACAAATATTATTATTTTATCTATAACCTTCTTTTTAAATAAACAATGGCAAAAAGTAAAGAACATAATAATGGAAAATAAACATTCAATACATTTCCTCTATTATAGGAACAGCTGGGTATATATATATATACAAACACACACAAAAGCTTTTCAATTTATGCAAAAATGTATGTATAAGAAATAAAAATAAACTTAGTCACAAAAAAATTAAATGCAGAAACTACTTTCTTGTTACTGTATAAATATATAAAAAAGATGAAAAATAAATTTTCCAAACTTACACAGCCAAGAAACTACTGTAGTACAATATTCCAAGCTATATCTATAAATACAAAATAGTTTCTGGTTTACAATTTTACTTTTTGTGCATTAGGGTTTCTTATATATACAACTGTCAGTTTTCCTATGGGAACTGGAACAGTATTTTGAAGCAACTACATCAGGGATGGAACAAAGTTATTTTTATTGCAAATTACATTAAAAAAACATCAGATGCAAAACTAAACATGAGAAAGGAAGTTCTAATTGTACTACAAGGTTTTTAGTTTATTTAGTTTATTTGAAGTTAAGCACAAAGCAACACAATGGGCTCTCTGTGCTCTGCCCACCACAGGTATCGAAACCCGAATTCTAGCATTGTAAGTCTGCAGACATACCGCTATGCCACTGGGGGGCTACTACAAGGTAGACAAACACGAGTATGAAACTAAAGGAAGCTAAAAACTTCCTTGGTTATATTATTATGACAAATATGATAAGACTCAACTTTCTTTTACTATCATGAAAAATTTACATGAAGAATCCGTTCATTTGAGTTAATACAAATACTTTTTATGAAAAATAAACATAATATTAGGTTCAGTCTAAAATACATATTTAACAAACACTTTATAATAAAAGTGTTTTACTTACCAAATGTACAATTTCCATCATCTCCTTTATAATAGGAAGGTTTACACTGACAATCAGGTTTGGCTTCATTATTCTCATAAATGTTAAAACAATCAGCACCTATTTTGTAGCATTTGTCTTTCTCATCTTGTGTACAAGGTTCTGAAAAAAAGTCTTATTTATATAATACAATCTGTCAAAAATAATGCATAGTTATTATGATGTACCACATCACAAACCAATACAACATACTTGAATATTCATGTTCAAAGCAATTTTGTATATGTATGTGTGAATGAACTGACATTATTTATTCAAATAAATTAGAAAACTTACTGGCTTTTAACTCAGATTTTGTCAGTCTAAGCATTTAAGGAAATATGTCTGTAGTTGTAACAGTAATACAGTTTTTCCCTATATTACAACAAAGCTTAGAAAACACTCAGGTGGAGTAAAGAGTACAATTAATACATATAAACCACGAAATAAACTAAGGATATAAATAAAACAATACAATTAGCAACAAATGGGGAAACCTAAAAAAGGGTATAAATTGCAAATTAATACTAACTACAAGATTCTTATTGAAACAAATCAAACAGTAATTTTCCTAAAAATAGTGACGAATAAATAAAAAATGTGTAGTTAAACCAACACCTTGAGTCTTAACATATATGTTATATAGTGGATCCCTTACAACTGTATTTTGTCATTCCATATGTTATTCCAATAAGGAAAATTGTATCGCATTTGTTTATAAGCAAAGGAGACTGACTACAAATGCACTGTAGTTTGAGTTCCAATGCAATGGGTGCAAGCCAAACAATACAGAGCTCTGGTTCACCAAGTAGCCATGGGTATATTTTCTGCTGGATGTTATCATTTGTTGTATTTTGGTGAGTGAAAGAAAATACCACTACTGAAGTGGTTACTTTTTCTAATTTCTAAAGGAGAGTAAAATGGGAGATATTCACTTCAAATCAATTTATCCGACAAGGCACAAAAAAATCATGTATGTATATAATACCCACCAGAAATACAATATATATATAAACAAAAACAAAACAAAATATATATACTCAAACGTGGTCCTCTTTTTGTGTGTTTTTTTTTCATTCATCTTCCTATCTTTAAAACATTTCTTTCAATCAGTTTACAGGGAAAGCCCCAATTTTTCCTGAAATTTCTTCACAAAAAGAAACATTTTTGTTCTTAATAAATTTATTATCAGGTTTACCATTCAGAAGATACCAAGAATAATGGATTTATGTTGATATCTATAAGAAAATTTAGGAATTGTCCAAATTAATAATTTTCCTGTAATGTTCTCTTTAAAATGAAGCATCTGGATATATCATTTGTTTTCTATGATTAACCATTCAGGAGATACAGAGCATGACAAACAGAAACACATTTGTCCATTATGTACACACACACACATACACTAGCAAAAGTCCCCCGCTTCGCTTGGGTTATTAGGTTGATATAGTTTAATGCTTATGTCACTGTGTGTACTCTGAACCTATTTTAACATAAAAGTATAACTTATATATACTCTTCTTGCTAAGCAACATGACATAAAAGCCTTTGTTGGAATGCATTGTTACCAAAACACACTGTCTTTTCTATATGTTAGATGTTATATAAGGAACCACTTCTTTTCTATGTGGTTTTTCATTAGTTTGCCTCAATAAAAAAGATGTGCATGCATGCATGTGCACATCTGTCTTTCTGTGATTTATATTTGTAATATGAGGAAATACACCATTAAGTTATGTTTGATACAATTAAGTTGACAGTATAGATGACCAACTTATTCACCCCATCACAATGTTTAGAAAAACTGCATTCACTTATCTGGTAACCAAAACTAAAATGCCATTAATAAATCAAAAATGTATACTGAATGTTAAGAAAAACTACAGTCATTATTAGATAGCTTAGAAAGCATCATTGATGCACCAAAAATGTAGTACTGATATTGTTAAAAGGAACAGTATAATCACTGTTTTTGAAGAAAACAAAAAACTGTCACTCTTACACAAAAAGTCAATTCTGCTATTTTTGAGAAAAATAATATTCACTGACTTGGCAACTGAGAAGATACTGTTGATACACCGAAAAGTTCCTACTGATGATATTGATTATTTTTGACTTTATAGTAGCTCAGAAAATTTCATACATATATCAAAACCTTGGTAACAATATTCACACTTTTTTCTATGTGGTTTCTCACTAGCTTGCCTCATAAAAAGATGTGCACACATATGCATATATATGTCTGTTTGTGATTTATATTTCTAATATAAGGAATCACTTCTTTTTCCATGTGGTTTTTCTCTAGATTGCCTCATTAAAAAGATGTGGACGTAGATGCCCATAGATAAGTAATAATACCCAGGTGCACACGAGTGTCTGTCTGTTTCTATGTGATTTCTATTTGTAAAATAAGGAACCACTTCTTTGCTATGTGGTAGTTTGCTGACTTGCATCATTAAAAAAAGATGCTTATGTGTGCACACACATGGATAAGTAATATTCAGGGACTACTTGGTACGGATGCAAAATTTCAGGTTTCTATCTTCTTTCCTCTTGAAGTTATGGCAGTCACACTTCATTTCTATGCAGTTTTTCCATAGCTTATTTCATTAAAAAGATACACATGCACATGGATAAGTTGTAATACCCAGGTGCATACCCTCAGGTTCCATTTAGTATGTGCACAAAATTTCAGGCTTCTAGGTTCTTTCCTCTTGAAGTTATGGCAGTCACACACGCATCCTTTTATTATTATAGATATACTTTATTCACAAGTTACGATACATGAATGTTGATGGTTGTTCTTATCTTCATAAAACCAGTTTTGGTTGGAAATATGTCTGTTGATTATTAAGATCACAGTGGTTCTTGACAACTAGAAGGTTTTATTTCATGCTGATAGTTAGCTTTCAAAGGTATTATACTCTGTAAATTAAAAACCAATATTGCATCTTTGTCATTGGAAAGGGATGATGAAGCACATTTGATGATTTTATGTTTGAAACTATGTAAAGCAAATTTAATGATTTTATGTTTGAAACTGTGTAAAACAAATTTAATGATTATTTGTTTGTGTTTTTAGAGAAAAACTACACAATGGGCTGTGTCTTCTCTATTGCCACAGGAAAACTAACACCAGATGTTAATTTTGTAAGCCTATGAACTTACTGCTGGCTTGCCAGAGGACACAAATTTAATGATGAAGAAAAAGAAAATAAAAAAAGGAGAAAGATAATATAAAGCAAAAAGGAAAAGAAAAAA